CAGTGAAATCCAGGTCAGCTGAAGTTGAATACACTTAAGATTTGGAAAGATTTTGGGGCGCCTGGGTGGCTTGGTCGGTTGAGCGTCCGACTTCAGCTCAGGTCATGATCTCACGGTCTGTGAGTTCGGGCCCCGCATCGGTCTCTGTGCTGACAGCTCAGGGCCTGGAGCCTGTTTCAGATTCTGTGTCTCCCTCTCTCTCTGCTCCTCCCCTGTTCATGCTCTGTCTCTCTCTGTCTCAAAAATAAATAAACGTTAAAAAAAAAAAGATTTGGAAAGATTTTTTAAACTTTTTTTGTTTGTTTTTGTAGGATTTGGAAAGGTTCTGTATAATAAATGTGGAAAATAAACATAAAAATAAAGCATTTCACATATCTATATACATGATGCACATGTGGAGATGTTTCTATTTCATCAACAAATATTTCTACAAGTCTTGCTATGTACCTACATTGAACTGATTGCTCAGGATAATAGATATGAACACAATTTATGAGAAGCAATATGACTGTTTAATCTTTCAAAGATGGAAAAAATCCTCCTTTTTATACTTGTTCATTGCTCTGCTTTAATTAGATGCACTGGATTAAGGTAATCCAGGATTTTATCACCTTTAGCTCTGAAGTCTATTCGTCTCCACTACACATTAGATTTATTGTCGTTGTGAACCCACTTGCTTTTTAACCTCAGATCCTCTTCTGAATGTCTGTGACTGCCCGAGTGTTTGCTGAAAGCTTTAGCTAATGTTTTTAAAGTTTATTTGTTTATTTATTTTGAGAGAGACAGCAAGTGGGAGAGGGGCAGAGAGAGGGGGTCAGAGGATCTGAAGCGGGCTCTGTGCTGACAGCAGAGAGTGTGAGGCAGGGCTTGAACTCACAAACTTTGAAATCATGACCTGAGCCAATGTTAGACACTTAACAGAGGCCCCTAGATAATTTTTTTTAAACAAGTGTGTATGTGTAATTTGTTTTAGCTATGGTGGAAGTAATATATGCAGAATAAAGCTTAACTTATAGCCTAGGGCCCTGGATGCTGCAGCAGATATAAACTTCTATGACAAAAACACAGAATTAAGTGTCTAGTTACATGATTGATTGTATTTTTCTTGCTATAAATAAAAACTGAAGAAGAATAATGAGTTGGAATTTTTGTAAATTCTGAAAGCTTACAACATGCTTCCACATCCTTCGTCTTACTTTCCTTAAAATAATTTATAGTTGCATATGTAAAATTCAAAGGTTGATCACTTACCTAAAGTCTCACATTGAGTAGGTATGGATCCAGAAGCAAAATTCTGATTTTCTTATTCTAACTAGCTGGACATTTCATTTCTCATTACACAATTGGGGCACCTGGGTGGTTGGGTAAAGTGTCTGATTCTTGATTTCGGCTCAGATCATGATCTCACGGTTTGTGGGATGGGGCCCTGTATCAGGCTCTGCACTGAAAGTGTGGAACCTGCTTGGGATTCTCTCTCTGCCTCTCTCTGCCCCTCTCCCTCTCACACTCTCTGTCTCTCTCTCACTCTCTCAAAATAAATAAACTTAAAAAAAAACTAAAAGAATGATAATAGCAACTGTATTGTAAATTTTTAAATGTACAACTTCATATTTATGTTGAAATTATATAAATAGCGTAAAGGTTGCACTTAGAATGATTGTCCAAGTTTGCTCAGTGTTCTTGTTTCCCTCACTATTTCTAGAAGTGCCTACACTAAGCTTCTGACATTTTTTTCCACCTGAAATGTTTTGCCCTAGCCAGGTATTAGTTGCCTTATTTCTGAACTCTGCGTCTGTAGCCCCCTTGGAATGACATTAAATGGGATACTCCACTTGACTTTCCGTTTCTTTTTTTTAATGTTTGTTTATGAGAGAGATAGAGAGATAAAGAGAGGGAGAGAGAGAGAGGGAGAGAGCACGAGAGGGGTAGGTGCAGAAAGAGAGATACACGCAGAATTTGAAGCAGACTCCAGGCTCTGAGCTGTCAACATAGAGCCCGATATCGGGCTCGAACTCTTGAACTGTGAGATCATGACCTGAGCTGAAGTCGGATGCTTAACCAACTGATCCACCCCGGCACCGCGACTTTTCATCTCTCATTTGGACCTGAGTGCTCTGTCTGGGATCCCCCTTCACCAGCTCAGAAGTTCAAGACCCAGTCCCTGCCTAATGCTATTCCTGGCTCATGTTCCTGCCCAATATCCTGGACTTTTACTGTTTCAAGAACAGACTTTAAACAATTGCAAAACCAAACAGAAACCTTGTAGTTCATCATTTACTCAGTCAAACTGTTATTTTTAATCATGTATACAAGACAATGTAGTAATTATCTTTGATGGAAGTGGGTTTTATGAGGTTGTATGATGGCTGGTCTCAACTCAGCAGCCATCACTTCTATCTAATCTAATATCAAGATATTTCCATCTCCCCCGCAAAAAGACAAAAACAAAACAAAAACAAACATACAAAATTCCTCTCTTCTCATTTCCTGACCCCCAGCTCTTGGCAACCACTAATCTAATTTTTTTGTGTCTGGATTTGCCTATTCTGGATATTTCATATAAATGGAATCATACAACATATGGCCTGTTCTGTCAGCTTCTTTCACCTAGCATAATGTTTTTGAGGTTCATCCATATTGTCACAGGAATCAGTACTCCACTCTTTTTTGTGGCTGAATAATATCCCATTGTATGGATGTACCACATCCTGTTTATCCATTCATTCATTGATAGATATTTGAGTTGCTTCCACATTATGCATAATGCTGCTGTGAAGATCTGTGTACCAGTTTCTGTGTAGACGTGAGTGTCCATCTCTCCTAGATATGTACCTAGAAGTAGAATGGCTGGATCATATGGTGATTGCATGCTTAACTTTTTTGCAGACCTGCCAAACTGCTTTCCACAGCTGCTGCATTGTTTGCATCCCCACCAGCAGTAGATGAGGGCTGTAGTTTCTTCACATCCTCACCAGTACTTTTTATGATCCATCTTTTTTATTACAGCCATTGTAGCAGATGTGAAGTGGTCTTTGTCTTTCGTTTCTCTGATTCTTAAGCCAGTACGTTTACTTAAAATTGAGTGTCCTATGGCATTATAGCGTTATTATCAATATAGTATAAATAGATATGCATATAAATATTATAAATATATGTCAATAATATATATCTATCTATATTATGTATGTGTAGATTACAAATATACACATACATAATGTTTACAACCACCTTTCCATTTCCCTTCCCATCTTTGTAGTCTCACTTTTTTGCTCTGTAATTTTAGAACCATTTTAAATTAAGAAAGCGTCTTAACCATTGTCTTTTTTGTCACTGAAGGCCTTCACCAGCACCCATCGACACGTCACTGTAGTTTTCTGCAAAGGAAGCTAGGGGACTAGTCTATCACCTAGAAGGACATGATTTCACGCAGCTTTAGTCCCACATATTCCTCAGTCACTTAACTACAGGTGTTAACTGCATGAAACCATTGGGGCCTTACACTTAAAGGGTTACAAGGAAGAGATTCTTCCAGCACATCACAAAGGCAGCAGGGATGATTGTAAATCTGTTTTGCATATAGGATTCTTATTTACATATAGCTAAAGAAGATGTTAGCACAATTGTTTTTCTTCTGCTTATATTAGAAGGGGAGGAATTTCTTCTCTCCATAGAATATATTTTGTCCGGGGGCGCCTGGGTGGCGCAGTCGGTTGAGCGTCCGACTTCAGCCAGGTCACGATCTCGCGGTCCGTGAGTTCGAGCCCCGCGTCAGGCTCTGGGCTGATGGCTCGGAGCCTGGAGCCTGTTTCCGATTCTGTGTCTCCCTCTCTCTCTGCCCCTCCCCCGTTCATGCTCGTCTCTCTCTGTCCCAAAAAAAATAAATAAACGTTGAAAAAAAAATTAAAAAAAAAAAAAGAATATATTTTGTCCATTTGACATGTTAGGATTTGATTTTATTGTATTGGTTATAAAATTTCATTGTAAGTCACTAAACAAGACTCGGGCAGAAAAGGTGATTTTGAGAGGCAGCGATTCTAAAAGCAATAAATGTTGAGTTCTGGCATTGGTGCAGCAATTTTTTTTTTGGTGTAACTCTGAATTAATCATATAACCTTTTGGCTATATCACTTACTAATGATGATGTTGAAATAGAAGATATTTAAGATTCCATCTTGAATTCAACTTTTATTCTATGTTTCACTGAAGATCACACAGTGTAGTGGTAATATTTTTTTTCTACTGCTTATCTCTGGGTGTTTTGTTTTTATACCTGAAATTTAAATTACTAAATTTAAAAAATGTTACAGAGATGAAAGGGAAAGTTACTGACATTAAGCAAAGAGGTAGTGTACTGGTGATTTAATGCAACAAGTTTTGACTGCATAGTAAATTTGTGTACATATAAGGTACACAAATGTGTACCTATGAGCCTGTGGGTTCTGTGGTTGTGTTTGATTTTGATTCCCAGAGATACATTTTATATGATAAGGATCACTAAAATGTGCAATAGTCATTCTCTTAAATTTATAAAAGATTTTACTGGCACCAGATCTGGGCACAGCTTTGAATGATGTTAGCCCAATGGGTGATTCAAACCTGAATAGTTGTCTTCTGTGAAGGAAAGTTTGTCTAGAAAGGAAATCTTGGGATGCCTGGGTGGCGTGGTTGGTTGTCTAACTCTTGATTTCAGCTCAGGTCATGATCTCAGGGTTATGAGATTGAGCCCCACATCAGGCTCTGTGCTGACAGCACAAAGCCTGTTTGGGATTCTCTCTCTCAAAATAAATAAACTTTCTAAAAATTTTTTTAAAAAGAAAGGAAATCTTGCCTCTTGATTTTGTATGATGAATCTTTATAACCAAGTGCTATCAGAAATTATGTGCTATTGCCTCTGATTTGTTCTTAACAGAGAACCTATATTTCAGGTTCATTGCATTTAAGCATATGCTAGTTAACTTTTTAAATCCGTCCTTTCTTTTGTATCTCCTTTTCTTCTGCAGGATGTTTTCACTCCAGAATGCAAATTTAAGGAATCTGTATTTGAAAACTACTATGTGATTTATTCTTCTACACTGTATCGTCAGCAGGAATCAGGCCGAGCATGGTTTCTAGGACTCAATAAAGAAGGTCAAATTATGAAGGGAAACAGAGTGAAGAAAACCAAGCCTTCATCACATTTTGTACCAAAACCTATTGAAGGTATGAAATGAACTTCTTTTCTTTTTAGACCCTGATCTGTGTGTTGATGACAATTTGGTTCCTTATCCCTTGCTCAGTGGAGTTTGCTCGGAATGCAACAGATCCAAACAAAGTTTCAGAAAACACAGTGGTACCGCTTCCTTAAAAAAAAAAATCTGTTACAAATGCTTGGCATTTATTTTAGTATATGTGCTGCCGAAGCGAGCACACTTGGCATTTATTTTAAAAACTGCTTGACTATAGAAGCTAGAAAATTCCTCCAAGTAGAAAAAAAATAGTGCTAGCTACCATTTGGCAGGTAATTTCCTTCTTTGGTGAACACAATGATTTCTCAAGCTACATTCTTGAAAAACCAATCATGCTATCATAGTGCTGTAAAGTTTGCAAAAAGCCTTTAGAAATATGTTTGTATCCTAATCTATACATCTTTCTAAACAGATCTAACAATATGATATTAATTTTTCTTTGTATTTTCTAAGGAAAGGAGTGTTCTATCTACTGTGATCAATAAATATTTACAATATTCAATTTTATCCTTCTCAGTTGAGGCTATAACCTCCTTTCTCATGATCATTTAATATACTGTTCACTTATTTCAAATTGGTTGGTGGAATAAATAATTTTATGCTAGGTCACCATTTTTGGTGACTTGTTCCTTAGGTAAGATGAGATATACCATTGAGGTAAACACTTTTACTGAATTCAGCCAAGCTTTTTAATACAGCCTAAGAAAATAGCAGTGACCTAGACGTTTACCAATAACATTCCTTTCTAAAAGTCACATTATTAGTCATTAAAAGAATTAGTTCAGCCTTCTTGTCTGAGAAAATGAGGAAACTGAGGCAGTGCATTGCAATTCTGTAACTTAGCCAGGCTTTCAATGCCCTATCTACAAGATACGGTCAGGTCAAGCAGTGTAGGGTCACAATGTCTGCTGCATAGTACCTATGACTGTAACAGTCAACAAACATTTGTTCAATCGATACTGTGTTCAAAGCACTGGGGGAAAATGTCCCTGGTCCTGCTCAAAACTCTTCTCACACTTTGTACTTTTAACTACACAAAACAGAACTTTCCTTCTTATACTCCTTTTTCACTGTTTGGGGACACGTGTAGTTTTTTTGCCCAGAGGCAGAGTCCAAGCCAAGGCATTCTGACTCCAGCAAGCAAGCGCTACATCTCTGTGAAGATGGATGAAATTGCTTACAGTCTGAAGTCTGAAATGGAACCTCAGCATAGCATAATAAGACCCTGGCAAATGCTTTTGAATAAATGTATTCCATTCGCTTCTCTCCTTTTTTAATCGAGAATATACTTGCTGCTTAGAAATAAAAGCCTTTTCAGATTCATGGAGCTCTTCATGTTCTAAATATTGTTGACAGACACATGAAATTGATCAGTTCTCCCATACCTAGTTTGGTTTTTATTTTAAATTGTAGTTATTTATTTTGAGAGAGTGAGACAGAGAAAGAGCAAGCGGGGGAGGGGCAGAGAGAAGGAGAGACAGAATCCCAAGCAGGCTCTGAGCTGTCAGCGCAGAGCTGGACGCAGAGCTGGAACTCACAAACTGAGATCATGACCTGAGCCGAGATCAAGAGTGGGATGCGTAATTGACCAAGCCACACAGGTGCCACCCATACCTCGTTTGTAATTTGATACCATTGTTATGATGCAAAAATAAGAATGCTTTCCCAATGATTCTTCATGCAGCTGTGCTTTGTAATATCAAATGATATAATTATGTAATAACCATTATTATCAAAGATATGTACACTGGAGGTTTTGTTAGGCATCAAGAACTGTGCAGTGAGAATTTCTTTCTCCTCACTAGGATCCCCAAACTGTTCATGCCACCACTTTATTACTACGATTACTAGTCTTACTGCATCTATGTGCAATTTATCGTTTGCTAGGCAGGTTGTATATGTTACATTCATTAAACCTCACAACAGCTTTATGTTATTACCCTCATTTTATAGATGAAGAAACTAATATTTCAATAACAAAGTTAGTGAGCCCTGTCCAATCACAGGGCTAGATAAATACAGAACTGAGACTGCAATCTAGGAAGCTCACTGTTGAAACCTATACATTTATTCCCTGTACTCTACTGCCCTTTAATCTGAAGTAAGCCTATGGATATGCTAATACTTAGAAAAGTCAGTGATAGCAAAGCAGAAATGTTATATACCATGGCACAGCTTGAACGGTAAGCTAGCTCCAAACCATGCAAAATGGAGAAAGGTATACATGATATGATGAGATAAACTCGTATTGGTAGATAATCAGATAGGATAGTTATGGGAATGCCATGCTAAAACTAGGCAAGAAAGAATTGAGAATACATCTTTTTTTATCTTTTTTTTTTTTTTTTTTTTTTTTTTTTTTTTTTTTTTTTTTGCTTAATTTTAACAGGCTCCATTTCCTACTCTGCAAAAGAAAAATTTGGAGCAGCTGATTCCTAAAGTTCTTTGACAATGACATTCTGTGCAGTCTTTATAAGACCTTAATTGTAAACCCATGTTCCTTCATGGAACCTAGCTTAGGACTTAGAAACAAAATGATTCTAAACACATTTTCTTTATTGAATTATTGAATGAAAAAAGTACAATTTTATGAGCTATTTCCATAATGGATGATTTGTGATTTTGTTTTATTTTTTGTTTTTTTGTTTTTTGGGGTTTTTTTGGAAGCAGTAGGATGAAAAACATTCTAAGCCGTAATTCATTGTAAAGAAAGTCTTCGGTAAATTCTTCCATACATCGGTTATAAAGCACATAACTAGAAGACACTTTCAGAAAAGAAAGAAAATGATGGCTTCATAAGAGGCTGTCCATATTGATGGCTAACCAGAAAGGCTGTTAGTTATTTTTAGTTTTTAAAGGAATTTTTGTAAACCTGTAAACCTACCACTGTATGGTTACCAACAGAGTCCAGTACTACGGACTGTAAATGTCCTTTTAGGAAGGGAATTGGCCACTGATAGAGGAAAAGTCAGAGGAGGTTTGTTTTGTTTTTCAAATAGCTCTGTCTTTTCCCCACTTCCTGATGATGATATCATTTTGAATGTCATGATTCCCAAAATTAAACTCTGCCAGTCCCAGGATCTTTAAATCCCACACTGATTACGTGATAATAATTACCCACCAGCCCCTTTCCCATCATGGCCTCACTCTCCACCCTTTGTTTACAACACAGGCGGTGTTAATGAAGGGTTGCAAGGGTGTCTGTTCAGACAGATGGATGGACTTGATATTTAAACCCATTATATGTACACTTGCACGTCAACCTTTACTTTACGTGGGTCCCCTCCCCTGGAATTTAAGACAACAGCATAGGCTTGATTCCCAATTTTGCCCTTTCAGAGCATTGTTCACACAACAGATAAGTAACTCCCCCAGATTTAAATTGTCTTGGTGGTAACCTCCCCCTTTAGCTTTAGATACAGCAGCCAAATACTCATTGACAAAGAGCAAGATACAATCTCCTCCTTTTCCCCTCCCTCCTCCAAGAAGCTCATTACTCAGCTCCTGCAGGTGGTTGGCATTCAGAATCTAGTTCCTTCCTCCTGAAAACAATGTGTGCATTTCCAAAGGTTTAAGCTTCATGAACTTAATCCTGGAGAGAGAAATATGTTTCTAAAGTAAAATTAGTAAATATCAACTGAGAATCATTGCAACAGAAATATTAAACTGGAAATAAAGGAACATTTGCTGATTTCCACCAATGTATTTTCAAGTGGGGAGACAAGACTAACAGACACACACACAGGTAAAATTATCCGTTTTTCCTGTTATAACTGTTGACTTAAGCTAATAGAACCTGATTTAAGTGCCAGAAGTATAATGTAGATCAGTGTTTCCCAAACATGAGTATCTGAACCATCTGAAGTGTTCAAAAAGCTATAAATTCTCAGGCCAAGTCTCCAGAGTTGTTCTGATTTTATGATGGCAACCAGGATCAAGACTTAGTGTCCTAAACTGAATTTGGTGATTCGAGGCTTATTTGCATTAAATCTAGATGTCCAAAGGCAATTATTTAAATTTATTCAAATTATTGTGATCAGTATATTGGACTAACATAGAGTAAACTGTCACTCTGACACCATGGAATTAAATATATCAAACATGTCACATTTTGCCATTTCCTACTGCTATTAAGATGGCTGTATTTTAGTGCTGAGTTAAATTAGTATACAGAGTAAGAGGTAACACCAATTATCGCATTATGTCAACACTGAGAAAAAAATAACCTAGTAGAAATCAATTAATCAAGAATAAATGTCTAATTCTTCTGATCAAAATTTTGCCAATGATTTTCTAAGAAATTTTGATAAAATGATTTGCCCTTTTAAACCTCAGTGATCTCTGAAGATGAAGTTGATTATAAATGCCATCTGTTTCATAGGAATAATATGAAGATTAGACATTGTAAGAAAGCTGGATATCCCAAATCTGTCAGATCAATGCAAAGTGTCTTTTTCATTTTCTCTCAGAAACTGGACATAGTGTTATTGGGTTATGTACTGGGTAAATGCTGTGAGATGTGGTATTCACAAAGGGATTAGAGACAGTGAAAGTTGAAATTTGGAGGGAAAATAATCTCTTCAAGAACTCTATAATGGGGTACCAAAGAACTGAACAAATCAGGGGTCCTAATGCTTTAGACCTCTAATTGGGAGAATACTAATAGCAAAATGATTTTGACATTTTTATTTCAATTGCCTGGAAAGAAAACTGCTGTGTTTTCCAAAATCCTCTTTTAGACCCAACCATACTAAAAGACAAAGAAAGATGGAGGAACAAAGGGTACCGCTGATGCCCCTGATTGTTTTAATTATAGCCAAGACAATAGCTGTAATTTCTCTCTGTCTCTCTGTCTCTCTCTCTCTCTCTCTCTCTCTCCACCTTTTGAGTTTTGGATCCCTGCCAGCCTGTGACACCTTCTTCCCCCAAACCAGTATAACTCCTTCAAAGCAGCATTTTCCTGGCTTTGAATTT